ATCGAATAAAAATACTTTTATTTAGTATGCTTATTGTTATTTGATATGATAAATAGATAATATTAGAGATGCGCCTAATTTTTTTCACACATTTTTTGTTATTTTTGTAATATTTATATTTATATTTATTTTTAAGTTTTTATTATTTAACTATGAGAACATTAGTTAACCCATTTAACATGGATGGTTGATTTGTAAGCAATATGTAAACAATAAGGGTAGAGTTAGTCAATTAGCTAAACCATAGGGGCGGTTTAAGAAATTTTCCCTTTATTTAATTATTTTTCATGTTGGTTTTGAACATAGCTTTTACATTATTAAATAATGGATATAGATTTAATTTGTAGAATTTATTAGTGAGAAATAAAAATAATTCAAATAAAATATCTAAGGAGAGAGAATGAGAGTTAATACTTTAATGAGAGGGATTTAATGAAGTGAAAAGTAATAATAATTTAATTACATTTTGTGCCCACACAATTAAAGAGGGATTATATTCATAACTAGGTGTTTTAGTCAAGAAAAATCTATACAGCTCATTTATTTAATGTGCCTTAAATATAAAATTTAACGAAAGGAAATGGGAGTTAACACTTTAAATATATGACTTAATGATGAAGAATATAATGAATTTAATAAAAGTAGTAGTTCAAATTATGTGTGTTGCCCTCATAATATAGGGAGACTAAATTCAAAAAAAAAAGAAGAAGTCTATTTTAGTTAAAAAAATTCCAGAATCTACACCTCATTTACACTTTTAATAGTAGTATAGATATAGATATTTACACCTAAAATAATAACAAAGTTTACATCGATAAAAAGAATATAAATTTTACACTTAGAGTTTATCAATGTTAAAAAGGTATATTTCAATCTCGGGGTTTGTATGTGCACCCATTACAACTAAAAATCATTTGGCAAGAGTAAATTTATCAATGCAAAACTTACGGGTGAAAATGGATTGTATCATGATCTAAAATGGGATCCTATTTTGTCTAATTGAATACTCCCTTGGATTTTTGGATTAGATCAGATCGGATATGTTTTATATTACACTTTTGTAATTGTTTTATATTATTAATTTATTTTTATAAAAAACATGTATAGATGATGAAAATTCTTTATATAACATGTTATGTTTTTTTTATCATTTTAATAATTTATTAATCTTTTTAGAAATTAAATCAGATCGAATCAGATTCAAATATCCAACACCCTTAATAGATTTGGATTTGAAACAATGTTTGTGATATCCAATCGGATCAGATTCGGATATACCCAAATTGAATCCAATCCAATTCATTTGCATCTCTAACAAAAACTAAAACCAACTTTGTATTTTGTGTGGACTTGAATACACTTTACATATTTGTATTCATACTCTAACAGGGTACTTTAACTAATTAACCCTATTATATTTTAATATAGTATTATTATATTATTCAATTTATAGCTTATGGTTTTGTTTGGTTTATAAAATTCCGGAAAACCAAGCCATAACCATAACCCAATATTTTAAATAATCTCAAATCAATTTACATGGTAGTATTGCATCAATGATACTAACGGGGACCCATGCGATGTACAAGATTTGTTAAGTTAAAGATAAACAATAGAAACATGTAAGAGTATATAATAATTAATATTATTTATATTTTATATACTACTTTTAATAATTTTTTTACAATACAAAAATAACAATAATTAAATTTAGATAGAGTTGTTTATGAAACTTGGGGATGACAATTTCCCCATTTCCTCGATCCTCGTGGAAATTTGCCCCGAATGGATGGGGATGGGGATGATTTTCCCCGTGGGGATGGAGATAAGGAAATTTTCATCCCTGTTGAAGGGGACGGGGAGAAAACTCCCTACCCCACGTGGACCCCAATCCCTGCCCCATGGGATCCCCACTAATATATATGCATATATACACATATGTTTATATATGTATATATGTACACATATGTCTATATATTAATATTTTTAAAAATATGGTTGAATACGTTTGAATCTTTTATAATAGAATTGTAAATTTTAATTATTTTATTTTTATTTTTTTAATAAAAATAAAAATAAAAATAAACATGTGTATCCCCGTGGAGACGGGGATGGGGATAACTTTGTCCCTGTTAGCGATGGGGACGGGGATGTGGATGGAGATTTTCGTGGGGACAGGGATAGGGAGAGGCTCGTCATCCCCACCCGCCCGTTGCCATTCCAAATCAAACTAATGAAACTAACCAATCTGATTTCTAATATTTCCAGTTGGCTTTAGTTCAAAATTTTCCCAACCTGACTAGGTTGGATCAGTTTCTCATTGGCCACTTGTAAAATGACTAAAACCTAACGATCCGACCATAGATATATATTAATATTTATATTTTAAATATATTTTTTAATATGGGAAAGTGGGAAAATTCCAATATTTCTTAGGCTGAAATAGTTTATATCATAAATTTAATTTTAATGATGCCATTGAATTTTTTAAAATTTAAACTTAATTTTTGAATATAATTTTTTAAGTTTAAATATTTTGAACCGATTGAGCAATTCGATAATTGACCCAAATTGATATAACCTGAGTGACCAACCCCCCAACCTGACTAGGCTAATTTGGTTGGCCAAACAACCTACAATTGAATCGAACCAACCCGTGAACAATAGTTTAATATTCATTAATTATTAAAAATTTATAGCAAAAAATACACAATAAATTAAATTTAAAAAGCTAAATAACAATAGTTTAAGATCCAATAATTATTGAAAATTTTATATTAAATAAAAAACAAAAATAGAATTATGAATAATTATTGAAAATATATTTATCATAAAAAACAATAAATAATTACTAAAATAGAATAAATATTAATTTTATTATAGATAAATATAAAGTAGATAGAGATTAAGTTTTTAAAATTATTATTAGTAAACAATAATTTTTTTGAAAGTTATTTTCTAGAATTATTAATTGGTATAAACGAAATTAGTTATTTACATTACTATTTATTTATTAAAATAATATCATTATTTTAATTTTAAAATATTAATTACTTTTTGAATTTAATAATCCATAAAATGATAGTACTATTAATACATAATTTTTTTTATTTTAACTATTTAAATTCTAGCTATGTTAAATATTTCGTTATTTAACTAAATATTTAAAATCTTAATCTATTTATTTTAATTGAAAATTATTCAGTAACTATTTAAAATATATTATTGATTGATATAAAACATTAATTTTAATATTTTGTTATTTAAGATATTTAGTTATTGAGATATTTAAATAATATTTCATTTTTATGTTAGATTTTTATTATTTGAATAACATTTAGATTGAATAATCTAGAAAATCATAATTTATATTGTTTGTACATAACTTCGTGATGAATTTTGTAAAAACAATAATTAATAATATGAATAATATTAAATCGGTTATAATTATTTTTTGTCTTTTTTAATAAATATTTTAAAGTTACTATATAATTTTGTTATAATATTTAAATAATTCTTAAATTTTTTAGTTCAAAACTTTTTTAGATAGATGTAGATAAAAAGTGGGAGAGAAGATAAATAATAACTAGAGATAATTTAGGAGAGAGACTCTCTACTAATTTAGAGATAACTTATATGAGAAATAGTGGGGGAGGTTGTTTTGGAGAAATTTTAGGATATTAGATTATTTAGGTTATTGGGAGGGGTTCGACTATGATATGGAAAAGATATGATATCCGAAAAACTTCTGATTCGTCAACTGGAATATGTGGTAGTCAATCAAGTGTTATTTATCAAAATTCATGGGTGGGTTTTGATTGGTCAAAACTCTTCCCATACCATATCTTTTCTGCATCATAGATTTTCCCTATTGGGAGAGATTTTAGTAAGATTTTTTTGAGAAAAGTAGAGTTTTTAATTAGTAATTTGGAAAATGACATGAATTAAAAAAATTAAAAATTCATAAAAATGAAAAATTTTTAGACTTTCTTATTTTAATATATATATATATATATATAGATAGATGATATATATACAAAGGAAAGTTGTCTAAAACTCACCATGAGTTTTCAACATTTCCCTTAAACTCACCACAACTTTTCAAAATGTTTAAAACTCACCATGTCAGTAAAGTTTTATTTTCCAAAACTCACATTCTGTTAGTTCATTGTTAATGCTTCTTAACAGAAGTGTCTATGTTAGCATAAATTACAATTTTCATGACCAAATTACCCTTGAATGGCGAGTTAGAGGAAAAATGGTCTTTTTTAGTTTTAAATTTTCTTTTTTTTTGCATTTTTAGTATTTTGTTATAATTTCCTATTTTTTTATAATTTGTTTTTTATAATTTTCTATTTTCTACAGTCTATAAATTTTCCTGTATTTTTTGTTATTTATTTGTAATTTCTGTGTTTTCTATAATTTTTGTGTTTTTTCTACAATTTTTATTTTTTGATTTTGTTTTTCAATTTCTATAGTTTCTATAATTTGAAAATAATTTTTTATTTTGTTTGCAATTTTTATAATTTTTTGTAGTTTTTATGTTTTTATGTATTTTATATTTAAAAATATTTTTTGTGTTTTTCCTTTTTTTATGTCTAAATATTAAAATGGTAATATATTAACACCCGTTGGTTTGTTTAACGTCAAGTTAATGACAAGGTGAATTTTAGACATTTTAAGAAATTATGATGAATTTAAGAGAAATGCAAAAAACTCAGGGTGAGTTTTGGACAATTTCCCATATATAAATGATAGATAGAGAGATGATGTGAAGTTGATTTTTTTTTTGATAAAGATGATGTGAGCTGATTTGATATTAAAGTATTTTAATTGAAAAATTGAGGTAACAAAAACTATGAATTTATTACCCATTAGGTGATAAACACGTCGCTCTCACGATCATTGAAGCAGTTAAAGTGTGGGCCAAAAGTAGGCCTGTTCCCGGGATAAATGGGSTTACAGGTTACGTGTCGTAAGCTGTGCCAGATTCCTTACAGTTACAGCTTACAAGAGAAGACGGGCACCGGGCACCGGGCACCGGCCCAAGTTCCCCCCACCAACCCCCAAGCCCAGAACAAGACACACACCTCATCAGCTCATCTTACCCGCCTACCGCCTGTCAAAACGAACCGACGTTCAAATTCAACCTCACAATTCACAAACGAGTCGACGAGGACGCTTCAGCAGAAAAAATCAAAAATCAAATGATTATCCAATTTTATCCCATGTTCGGATCCTCACGATATATAGATTACAGACACGATCCTCTCCCTCTACCTCTCTCTCTCCAGTCGTCAAGTCTCTGATCTTTGATAGAATTGAGATTATCGATTCTCCAGTCACTTTGTTTTTTTGGTTATCGGAATTCGTTTCTTGTTATTTCTCAAGCTCGATGATCTGTTTTCTGATCTTTGGTTTGTTGCAATTCTTGTTATCTGTCACTCTGATAAATTTCGTTGGTTCAATTCAAGTGAACACTTGGCTTTCATTCCTTATTGCTTTACGATTTTTATTTATATATACATGTGTATTTCCAGTATCTGTTTGAATTTGATGATCAGTTTATTGTTCGTCACTGTTTATTCATTTATTTAATTGAGCTAGAATTCGAGACTTCTTTTTGGTCAAGAGAACCTACTTCTGCGTTTTTGGACCAAAGCGGGAGTGCGGAACTTAGATTAATTGTCCTTTTTTTAATAAAAGATTTTAATATTGCATATTCTTCAAAACGATATTTGCTTAAATTGTAAAGAGGAACATTTCAATTCTCAAGTATAGGACTCTTAATTGGTTCCACTCACTCTACTGACAATATATCCTGTAGTAGTCAGTAAATTGAGTAGAGGCAGCTAGCTGAAGTAATTGTACTGTGTTTTTTGTGAATGATATCTTCATCTAATTCATGTTTTTTTTTTTTTTTTTTTGCAGAGTTACGTAGTTATATTCTAATTCCAGGCCTCTTTGCTGCAATTTGTAACCAAGGGGTACTGGAATAAAATTGAACAGCCAGTGAAGCTGCAAATGATGAAATGGGTTATGCAATGAGTAGACTTGAAATAGATTCTCAGCTGTGTGACGGTGGGAAGACCACCAATACGGCTTCTGCTAGTCAGTTTGCTAGTCAGAGCCACGGAGAATCATTGCCTCACCTTGATCATGAAATTGCTCATCTCACCAAGCTTAGATCAGGGTCCCATGAAACTTTAAGTCGTGTTGCACCTGGTAGGAGGGAGTTGCCTGTATCGGTGGTGAAGATGCTTGCTGGCCGAGAGGGTAACCAATCCAGGAAAGGAAGATTCTCTTCAGTAGATTGTTGTCATGTACTCAGCAGATATTTGCCTGTCAATGGTCCGTGGCAGGTCGACGAGATGAGTAGTCGAGCTTATGTATCCCAGTTTTCTGCTGATGGTTCCCTTTTTGTTGCTGGGTTTCAGGTAATGACTTGTCTGCCTCCAAGCTGTGATCAATTTTGGAAAACAGCATCATTTTTCTTATGGTAATTGACCAATACAAGAATCCCTCTTGTTTTCTTTTCCTAAATAGGGTAGCCACATTAGAATATACAATGTGGATAGTGGATGGAAAGTTCAGAAAGACATTCTTGCAAGAAGCTTGCGATGGACTGTAACTGATACATCTCTTTCCCCAGACCAACGATTTCTTGTAAGTTGGTGGTGCAAGTTAATGAAACTAAATGCATATATACATGTCTCTATGATGATAGATTTTAATTTGTATGGTATTATTCTAAATTATTACAACTTTATGAACTGATGTTTGGGTGGGTTGGCCATTGCTTGATGTAATGGTAAAATCATGGAATGATAAGCATGAGAACGTGGGCTTGAGCCTGTGAGCAGCCACTTTGTGCAAATAAATAAAATAAAATAAAATAAGAGGCAAAAGTTAGAGTCGTTTGGTTCACAGTTGGAATGGTGTATTCCCCTTACCTGTTTGGTCAGACTGGAATTGGAATCGGAATCAGAATTGGCTGGAATGGATTCTCATTTTCCAGGGGAAGGGGAAGGAATGGCCATTCCCTCAAATGGGGGAATGCCATTCCACCAGGAATGGGAATGGGAGATTCTGATTCCACCCAACCAAACAGTTGCAAATTGGAATGGGCCATTCTGATTCCGATTCTGGACCCCTATTCCCACAAACCAAATGGACCCTTAGGTCTGTATCCGGTCCACCTCTCGCAAGACCCCATCTAGCTGGGACCAACATTGGATAATGGATTTTAATGTTTGGGTGTGTTGACCAGAATGATCTCCCCAAGTTTGGGGGATCTACTTCAAAGGATTTGCCTTTTTCTGGTAATCTATTCTACATGGCATCTTCTCCTTATTTTGACAGTGGATTAAGGGAATGTCATTGCATTATCCATTTCTTCTTCAAGATTTCTCTTACACTAAGTGGTTTATAAGGTTTTAACTCTATGAAAGTGATTTTTCTGTAATTCTGAGAGTTTTCCTTCTCAAAATCAATCATACTAGTGCTGGTTGAAAATTTTAAATCAGATCAGATATTTCTGGTTATTTGAAATTTTATTTTATGAATTCTCTTATTGTATCTTGTATGAAAGTTTACTGGATGTTAGAAGATACCTATTCAAATTTCTGCAGTATCTAGGTGTTATTCCTTTTTCCCCCTAACTTTTGGTAACATATGGATTTCGTTTTTTGGGCATGGTAGATTCTTACTGATCAGACTAGTGTATTATATATTGTATATGCTGCCTTCTTTCCTCTAAAGTTTATTTTTCATACTTATTATATAAAAAACTATAATCTTTTTATATCGAAAGGATGTATTCTTAGAAGAAGGGAGAAGGAAAAAAAAAGAAACAAAAAGTGGTATAGGCTCAAATTTTGACCATTCATTATCCAAATGGCTGCAGGAACTTTGAGTAGATAGAAATTTATATATGAAAAAGGTCCTACTCTTGATTTTTTTTAATCTTGTAAATAAACCACTGATAGGATGATGAATAAATTATGCATATACTCTTGTTTAAGTATGCTAAGGAATCGATGGGGACAACATGTATAATGAGAATATCTCCCACATGAGTGTGGAAAAACAATCCAAGATCCTTTTGTATACAACATTTACAAATGTTAAGTGTTACAGCTCTCTGTTGTGAACTTCAGATTGCTGTTTGACCATCATAAACCATGATTTCATGCCATAGTTTTCAAGGCACCAAGGCAAAGGTCACCTCAGCAGGTGTTTATGTATTGCCTAGGTGAAGAGTTTTTTAAAATAAAAAAAAATATAAATCCTTGGGTAGTTCCCTAGGCTTCATAGTAATAAGCGTTAATCTTTAACTAATAATTATTGTAATCCTTGCGAAATAAGTATAAACCCTGTATCAAGAGATAGAAAATCAACAATTCAACATAGTTATGAGAAGAAAGATAAGGAAGGAAAGGGAAGAAAACATACAAAACATAAGGGCTGAGCCCTATTCATAAAAAAAAAAAAGGAAAAAGAAAGCTGAGACCTTGTTTTGGGCATAGGAAGATGAAGAAGAAGTCCTATTGATTGTTCTTGTGTGTCAATTGGATAAAATCATCAAGTTACTCCTTACCTATCAATTCAGGTTTTAAAGCCTTCAAGGGTTCAAGATTGTGTCACTGACTCGTGTGTCGATTCAACCCAAACAAATAAGAAAATAATAAAAAGAAACTAGTATAAGAGTAATAATATTAATATTATAAACCCACAATATGAATAATTTAGTCTGATAAAATCTATCGTACTACTATTAATAACATAAAAAAAAAATATAAAAATATTATGTAGTGTCTTACATATAAATGTAAAGGCGTTTGGGCAAGGCAACCCTCCAATAGCGCCTTATCACCTAGGTGTAGCCTTGACAACATTTTTTGCCATTGATGATTAGTGTTGTCATTTAGAACTGATCTGAATTTCCAATTTTTCTAATTTTCAAATGTTAAAAAATTATTTTTTACCCTATCCTTCTTGTACTTTACATGTTCTTGTTGTTTGTACTTTTATTTTTCACTAATCATTTAAAATTTGATTAAACTGTTTGTGGGTGGTCTTTATACATGGCCTAACAGTTATCTGATGATGATTTTTAATTGCAGGTCTATGCCAGCATGTCACCTGTTGTCCATATTGTGAATGTTGGATCTACTGCAACGGAGTCGGTTGCAAACGTTACTGTATGTTTTTTTATTGGCAATTGTTAAATTTATTCAATTTGAACGGAAAGGATGAGATAATATATAAAGAAATTGCCTAGTACCCCTCAATAAACTTTAGGCCAGTGTTTTAAAAGGCGTGGGAGGCGTACACCTGGAGGCGTGAGGCGCTCCCAAAACGCCCTGAGGCGTATGCCAGAGGCGCTGACACCTCTGAGGCGTATGCCTCTTGCGCTTTTTTCATGAGGCATGCTAGAGGCATACGCCTCATGCACATCTGATATAAAAAGACAGAAAAAAAAAGAAAAAAGAAAAAAAGTAAAGGAAAGGAAAAGAAAGGGAAGGGAAAGAAAAAGAAAGAGAAGAAAAAAAGAGAAAAGGAAAGAAAAGGAAAGGAAAGGGAAGGGAAGAAAAGATAAGGGGAAAGAAAGTGGTTTGTCCCCTGCCCCTTTCAACTAATGTTATGCATCTTTATTCTTCTTAATATAAAAGATTTTTATTAAAAATAAAAATAAAATGAGATCCCCCCTTCCTCTTTATCCTCCTCCTAACCCCCCTCCTCTTAAGGAGGCTTACGCCTCTTGCGTTCTGAACTATGCCTCACGCCTCTAGGTAGTGGAACGCCTCACATCACGCCTCTGCATTTTATAACATTGCTTTAGGCAAGCACATGATTATTAACCCAACAGATCTCACTTATACAACCATTTTCCCATGTCCCCCTTAGTGGTGACCTCCCAGCCGGTTTCTGTTTACTCTTTCTCTAGCCAAAGAATCTACCAAGCTGTTTGCTGATTGCTAAGTCCATGTAAAATGATGTCCTTAGCTCAGTTTGGTAAGAGTACAAATACAAATATGTAAAGTGCAAAACCTTGTATTTGCACCGTACATATTTGTATTTGTATTCTTTCCAAACTGAGCCTTATGTGCATTGCTAGACTTCTTACTTCCCATAATTTGTCTCCACATTGCCATATCCTAGGTGTGGGTTTTTAAACCATCCAGGTACTACTCATGAATCCCATTCAACTGCAATTTCTCTATAATTTAAACAATTTTCCCAACCTTAGTCATTGTTCCACAATCAATTCAGCTCTAGTCAAGTTCCTTTGATCAACTGGTCCCAAGAAAATCACTGCAAACACTACTCCATGTTCTACAAGTTATAATGGTTTCCTGTGTAGAAAATGGTTGAATAGGAGCTATTTTAGGTCACAAAATAAGTTTAGTTCTAACTTAGAAATTTATTTTGTATATGTGACAGCTAAGCTTGTAAGGTTGCATTTTCTAAATATCATTTTCCTTACTTAGGAATTTAACTAACTGTTTAGATTATCCTGACAATCCTGATATTGACTTAATTCAAAACTCTTGGTCATATTTTATTTGTCTAACTGTTAAAAAGATCATGATGCGTTTGTATGGTTGGGTTCATCCAAGCAGATTGACCATTTTGACATATGAGATATAAGAGGTGAGACCTATTTAATGATGGGATTTTCCACCCTTGGAGATGCATACTCTGTGATGCCTGCAATTATGGTTTACCTACATGCACTAGCCTTCCAGTTTTCTCCTGAAAGGAGGTTCTTACTAAAATGAAGTTGCACAGTGTCCCCTTTTTGCAAATCTTCTTGGAAATCTTATTACATAGGACTTCTTTACTTGTACAGGAGATTCATGATGGTTTAGATTTCTCTGTTGATGATGATGGGGAATACTCCTTTGGGATCTTCTCTGTAAAATTTTCAAATGATGGGCGAGAACTTGTAGCTGGAAGCAATGATAATTCAATATATGTTTATGACCTTTGCGAAAATAAGCTTACTCTTCGAATATCGGCACATTCGGTATTATAATTTTCTGTTCTAATAGTTTTATTTATTTTTAAATATATTTTTCTGTTCTAATTGTCTAACCTTGACTTAGCACCTTAACAACTATGACAGGTATTGATGTTCACCCTTAGTAGATAATCTCTTAGCAGAAGAATATGTGCCACAAGCTAATTATTATAGGCCACTAGGTTGTACAACACTGCAATTCCAAAGTTCAAGTCCAAATCGATTTTGATATTTTTTGATGCTGCAAAGAAAATGCTTTGAAGATAAATTTTGGATGATAGTACCACGAGACAATGTTTTGTGGGGTTTATCATTCAAATATCACTGTTGGAAAATAAGAGAGATTCAATGTCATAATTTAGTAATAACTATCATGGTTTAAGGATAAATAATAATCTCAACATTGTTTTTTTAGCTCATGGGTTTGAATCAGAGATAGCATGGTTTAGATGTTCAAGTTTTGACTAGGTGGATGTAAATACTGAACTCTGAATGGTGTTCATTCTTCTGTTGTCATACTCTGGATTCTCAGCCCCTGCTTACTTTCCATGGAAAGACTCCTTGCTTCTTGCAGGACTTGTGTCAATGTGGCAGATTGGTGCACAAAATGTACTCCTATTTCAACCAATAATGAATTTTGCCAGGAGGAGAAGGACAAGGCTAAGCCCCTGTGTGCTTCCTTTCTAATAGAGATCAGCACATTCTTTTGGATGTTTTTTAGCTTGAAAAGAGGGCTGACATAGGACTGTTAGGATGTTGGCCTGTCCCATAAGTGTGTAAAGCACAGGGAAATAGTTTCTTGTTTAAAGGTTAAAAATGGGTGTTCAAAAGGTTGGGTTTAACCCTAAATTTTCTGAGAAGTACAGAGTGAGAAAGAACAGAGTTCTTGTTTTCAGGTTTAGAGTCAAAGAATAAGGATGTGGAGAGACAGGATTGAAATTTTGCTTAGCTGGGGGGGGGGGGTGTATTGACACAGATATTATTTGCAATAAAGAGATTAATATTTCCTTGAAAAGACAATAGATAATGTGTTTTTTCTTCTGCACCTTCAACACGATCAAACTGACATTAATCAGAACCCAGCAAGAAATTAATATCTGGGCTTCCATCTTCTCTGAACCTGGATAGAATTCTTGCATTTAATGAAGGATGGGAGTTCGAATTTACCTTATTCTCCCTCAAAAATTCAATTGAAGTATTCAATCTGTACAATCACAGCTTAGATTTGGGCTAATTTAAGTTCAGCTCTTTGCAATTCCAAACCTGATCCATCCTGAACCAAGTTGCACCACCTGGTTGAAGGTGGGAAGTCTTGTCCTCATAATTGTTACTGTGTTTTCAATCTATTTAGTGTGTCAACTGTTGCATGGCACATCTAGGCAAATGGCCTTGGTGATTTCCCATGGAACCATACATCTTGTGGGCTTCCTATGGTTTGAGCAGAAAATCAGAAACAAATAGATCAGCAATCTTTTGCAGTGTAAGTCACTCTCAAATCTTTGGGAGGGTATTGTTCATATCAGATATTTTTCCTGGGAACATAAATCAGATTAGATTTAACTATACTTTGGTGGGGCAATAGCACATTAAGTTTCTTGTGATCATAATACTGTTATCTTTATTTCATTGAGAGGAAAGCATGGTCCGACATGGAACATCAATGTTTGTAGACCCTTCCAAGGAATAAAGTACATAAGTTGGAGGTGGCATAAGTTGAATCTCTTAAGGATGCCTTTCCCTCTCTCTGTTTACCTGACAACCACATTTATTCTCTCTCTCTCTACCTGACAATGACATGTAGTCCCTTCCCCTGATTTTTTCATGGCCAACCCAAATTGGTCTTCCAGATCATTTAGTCCAGGCACAAGGATCAACACTGTTCAATTGTTGGGAAGAGGATTTTAGATAGGATTCTGATTTCACCAGAATTTGTGGGAACTAACAAAGAAACTTTTGGGGGAGGCTTGGTGTGCCTTAGAATTGGAAATGTCGGGCTTGTATTTGTAGTGCTTTCCTAGAGAAAGATTATGGCTCTCCACCATCTCACCCAGTTTTTTTTTTGAAGCTCTTTGTGGACGCATAACCACTTGCAACCTACTAAAGAGAAAGAATTGAGGATGGCTTTATATCTTGCTCAGTGTTTTAAAATGCAGAGGCATGATGCAAGGAGATCCACTATCCTGAGGTGTGAGGAGTAAACCAGGACATAAGAGGTATAAGCCCCTCTTAAGCATAAATTTTTTAATTAATAAATAAAAAAATATAAAAATATAGTAAATATCCCAAAATACAAAAAAAAAGAAAGAGAAATTAAAAGATACATTTGCTATAAGCCTCCTCAGCATGAAGTATCATCAGCCATTAATATATCATTTGCAAAGTTGCAAATCACAAGTTCAGTATTCACGAGTGTCTCATAACATTAATTTAAATTGCATAACATTAACGTAAACAAGTGTCTCATATCATATTCAAATGAATGTAGAGTATTGAAAGCAACCAAAACAAGTGTTTCAGGTTAAGGACACTGAAACCTTGCTGTTAAATACTTAGGATATACAAAGACTTTGCTAAAAAAATAAATGCAAGAACGTTGCTGATGAAATGAAGAAGAAACAGAGGTGGAGCTCCTTTCTCTGACAATCACATGAAGAATTAAGAGGAAGAGAATAAATGATTAGATCCCTGTTCCTCTGAGGAAAACCAAAGAAGAAGCCAATCCTGTGAATGCAAGAAAGCATACAATCGTCTATGGTCTCCACTTCTCTATGAGTGTTCTTCCAGTTCTCTCTTCATTGTCCTCCACAAGTTTCTCCTCATTGTTTCTTTTTCTTAATAACCAAATCTAGGTTTGTTTCTTTATTTGAGAATGAGCAGGACTGTCAGTATTATGTTACTTTTCTTATGGTAGTGTATAACAGGAGCATGATAAAATGGTGCTCTAGTTTTATTTTTTATTATTTTATAACAAAATATCGGGCATCAGATGAGATGCATGCACTCCATATGGCATGCTTAAAAAGTGTACACATCATATAAAGTGTATGTTTTTGTATGTTCCTCTATACAGGAGGTGTACATCCCATGCATATGTCAATACTTTCTCAATGCACCTTAGGGTGCTTTGCTAATATCTTGCCTGTAGCACGTCTCCTGGGATGTGCCTTCCAAACTTTTAGAAACACTTATCTTTCTGTGAGTATGATACACATAATTGAAAAATAGAGAATAAACTAGTCACCTTCTATTACATTGTAATTTGTAAGTGACCAGACAGTTGCAGCACTTCTTCTTGGGGTTACTTAGACTGCAGTTGGTTGCCATGGGGAATTTCATTGACCTGTTACTTCAGTGGCATGTCAATATGTTGGGGGAATGGAGCAATATATATTGGAAACCCAGCATGCATGCATTCACGTGGGAAGAGAAACAGAAGAGTGATCTTTGACAACAAAAAGTTATCTTATGAGGCTTTAAGGGGTCAGGTCCTTGGTTTACCTAACTCATGGATGCTGGTTGTACTAGAATTAAATGTAATATTATATTGACACCATTGGTAGGAACCTCCTGAAATTTAAAGTCGTTTTTAGCTGACCTAATCCCTAGAGTTGCACTCGCCCTCCTTGTCCAGGGTCTCACCATAACACAGGTTGATAGCAGCTCACAAGAAAATTCTGGACCAGGGAGGGTGTTTTTGAGTTCAGAAGTTGAGGTGAGATCTCTCCTTACCAGAATTTGTATTGCAAAGAGACTTCATCTATCTTCGCCCGCCATATAAGGTGACTTGGAAAATGCAATCAGATGGAGCATTAGAGTTGAAAGAGGAATATTGGTACAGACATGATGGATTTGAAAGGAGATGAATTTAATAGAAGATGGGTTAGCTAGGACTGTGGGGATGGTCTTTATATGGTAATAGCTCACACAGTAGTTTTCTTTTTGAAGGTAAAATTGTCTGTAATGCATGTATAGCCTTCTTTTTTCTATATAATACAATATATTAGTTATCTTATCAAAAGAAAAAAAAGGAAAAATCTCACATAACTCCCAAACTTTTTCCTATATAAGGCCTGCTCCATATAGTTGTATGAAATTTCTCTTTTTTCCTTGAAGGAATTTCTCTCTGCAACAGATGTAATTTTTTTGGCTTAGATATACTGATAATATTCCTTAAACAGGATATATATGTTTAGATTTCAGAGATACTGATTGTGTTTTCTTTTCCTTTTGTAGTCTGATGTAAACACAGTATGCTTTGCGGATGAAAGTGACCATATCATATATTCTGGGAGTGATGACAACCTTTGTAAGGTAATTTTGATGTGGGATTATTTCCCTGAGTTGGTATAGGGGTTCATAGCTTTTGGTTGTTTGAGTAAACATATACCCTTGTGGGTGTAGGGACATGTCTATGTATTCTTTAGTGGGTGTGTGCATTTTTTTCTTTGGTTTATTTCAATGTCAATTTATTTTTGAGTTCATTTTTAATAGGATAGTGGTTTGTAGAGGGTGATGGTTATTCAATGTTTTTATTTTTGTTCATCTGGAGTATTTATTCTTCATATCAACATCCTAACAACTTCCATATGGAATTATCCTATGGACTTTATGTTTGATTATTTTTGTCTCTCTCATCACCAAACTTCTGCAGCTCTTGTATCTATATTGATGTAAATGAGATTAAAGTAATTCTATTAGATACTTTCTGACTCTGTGCTTATTTGGTCAAAGAACTGAGATATAATTTATTACACCATCAGGTGTGGGACAGGCGTTGCTTTATTGCAAATGGACGTCCAGCTGGGGTTCTGGTAGGGCATTTAGAAGGCGTTACATTTATTGACAGTAGGGGAGATGGTCGTTACTTAATCTCAAATGGGAAAGATCAGACCATCAAACTTTGGGATATTCGGAAAATGTCTTCCTATGCTAGTTGGTATGCTACTTCTGCCTGATACTATTCCCTCTTTCTTTCTTTACTTCTGTTTTCCTATTTCCTATTTAGTGAGTAAAAATATATATTTAATCTTAAAGTGAGTTCAGGTATTATAATTATTTTATTTTGTAATCTCAAATTCATTTTTCATTATTTAAAATGTCTAAATGAGATGTTCAGATTACCTGCAGGTCCTTATCATAATATTAAAAGTCCCGGTTGAGTACTGTTTTTTTTTGAGAAATGCTAAAGTATAATATATCATAAAACACTATTCCTTTAATGTCTACAAAAAGATTATCATATGCAAAATAAGAATTATAATTCCATCCTTCACAGCTCTTGTAGAGTCAATATGGATATGTGGTTGCTTCAACATCAAGACTTAAGAGGGAGATTGATACCTCATGCATGTAATACTCGGGGAGTATAGACTTGACACGGGCATGTTACTTGCAAGTCCAAGAAGATTCTTCAATTGATTGGGATGAATCTGGACCCCCAATCATGGTAGTACCATTACTCCAGTCAAAACTGCATTTCTATTTGCAAATTGCATTACAGAGAGGCATCAGATATCACTTGATCAACTTGGCAGCACCTGAGTTCCTGCAAATGTTAATCCATTACATGGGGAAAGTTGCTTCCCTGATGCCATACAGGAATATGATTAATATTTCAATTGCAACTTGTCTTTGTGATTACTTGGGTAGAAAACTAGAATTGTACATTTGTACACGTTATATCCCATTGTATGGGCTTGGTAGATATGGAGTTACTACTTGTGGCCTACCTTGATCTTAAGATCACACTTCATTGCCATCTTATGGCCGCCTTCAGTAGTACTTTCTTTCTCCTGTAGTTGTCTGTCTTCAGTGGTTGCACCATCAAACATACCCTTAACAGGTTATGGGAGTGAGGTCAAACAGCTACAGATCCATTGGTTCTCAGTTAAGGAATTCAAGATTGTAATCCTTGTAGGTTGTCAATGAATGATGTTTCTATTTAAAGAAATGTTGTCAAAATCTTATAATCTACAATTATGATTTATGATTTGAATCATGAACCCCAAGGTTTTCAATTTGAATCTTATGTCTTAATCCTTTATTTTTTGCAAAAATATAACAATTTTGTTTGAATCATATAATTTTATTGATGAATCTTATGATTTATACAATCTGAGTTCAAATCAATTCGATTAAGAACTAGTTCTCTATTGTGTGATTTCTTTGTTTTTGTAGTTTTGTCAAGGGAGACTTGTTTTAAAGGCCATACTAGAAAATGGTTTTTTTAGGTTATTTAAGACCTTTTAGAAATACTATTGAGTCCCCCCCCCTACACACACACACACACACATTCACATGTTGGTTAAAAAGAAACTGCATGTGGATACAGGTGAAACTTGATTATATCATCTAAGGCTTCTAATGTACATGTGGTAAACTCTTATTGTTTTAGGTACGCATATGCTACATATAGATCAAAATTAGGATAAAATCACTTTTATATATTTATAGTTTATCTATTTTTAGTGTTTTGACAAGTTTGTAAAAACAGAAATAATCTTATGATTTACAATATGGTTCATGATTAGATCCTTTAAAATGACAAACACTTGGAAATAAATTTGAAAACTGAAAAATACTAAAATCCAGAACACTCAAACTACAAATTTGTCATTGGGTGAGGAATAAGGAAAAAAACTTCTCCATTTCTCTGTTGGATATGTTATTTGATGTAGATTATCTGCCAATAGGAGTACAGAACAAAATTCATATTTTCATTGAGATCAGCATGCCCATCTATTACATCCAAATTGCATACTTTGAGATCATATCATAAAAAGAAAAATAATAATAATAATAATACTATCAATTATGAGCTGTGAGCAACATGACATTCTCTTTTAGTTGAATGGTTTGTTTGTGGAGTCAAATTGATTACCTCATGCAACTCCTATGTAACCTGAACTGGGAATAGGCAAACCTTGGATGTGGAGCTAGATGTATGCATTCATGCTTCCTTGAAAGCCTCTATGGTTTTGATATGGAGATAAACTCATCCATACTGATTCTGGTCTATGCCTGCATGCATGATGCATGTTCTGTGTGCACATGCTACACATAGTACATTAATCATAATTGTTATGTGATCATATAGACACCTTGTCTATATAACTTCTTAATTTGGTGTGTCAAAAGGCTGAATACTTGGTCAAGTTCAGCAGAGTTTTCAACCAATGAATTGGGCTTGGTCGTACCAAGTTATGAAAGTTTAAGGATTTGTATCTATTGATTAAAATTGACAAATTCATGAGCTAATGCTGATATAGCTCTGTTTGTTCTTTCCAGCATCACAAGATTTAGAAATTATGAATGGGATTACAGATGGAGGGATTACCCAACCCAGGCAAGAGGCTTGAAACATCCGAATGATCAATCATTGGCTACATATAGTGGTCATTCTGTCCTGCGAACTCTTGTCCGCTGTTACTTTTCCCCGGCTGAGAGGTAATATATGAATAGTAATTTCTATCTCACTAAGGGTTTTTAAAGATCTGTGAATCAGTGTACCTCAATTCATGACTAAGCTCTGTTGCACTGGCTAAGAAACTTGCTTCAAACTCAATTTTGGGCCGGCTGAATGAATCTAGTAAACTATAGTTTCTGCATCTTGATTTCTTCAAACTACACAGTTTGTGTGATGTAAATGGTTGCATTCTTTCATTTACGTATTACTAATTTCTTAATTTCTTGTTGCAGCACTGGTCAAAAATACATCTACACCGGATCTTCTGACGGTTTTGTTTATATTTATGATTTGGTACTTTCACAATCATTGTTCTGTTCAATTCAAATTTCTTATGCCTGAAAATTATTTTGAAATGGGGAAACATGTTCTTTTTGCCAATATTGTGCATGTGGAGCACAAAAACGTGTTGACATCTGATTAGACCTGTTCATGGGCCGCAGGGCCGGGCCTGGCCAGGTTCGGGCTGGGCTTTGCCTCTATAGTAACAGAATATGCTTAGGCTCGAGCCTAAGCCCGACCTGACCATTGGGCCTAGGTCTTGAGCCCAAGACCGGCCAGAAATTTGGAAAAAAATATTTTTTTCCTCTTTTTAGTCAATTAAAAACTATTTTATTTATATTAAAAGACCTCAAAACCTAAAAAAATAATGAAAGATCTCACTATTACTTGAAAAAAGAGAAGAAAAATAAAGAAAAAAATTATATATATTTTATTATATAAAATATATTTTTATTATATAATACATTATCAAGTCGGGCCCGGGCCAGGCTTTTTTGAGAAAGCCCGAGCCCAGCTCGAAAAAAGGTCGGGCCTGATATTTCAGGCCCAAGCCTGAGCCCGTGGGCCTAAAATCCTGTCCAAGCCTAACTTAGATCAGGTCGGCCCATCGTGCTACCCGGCCCATGAACAGGTCTACATCTAATGAATTTGAAGGAGTATCTTGTAGTGGTTAATGCACGTGCCCTAGTGAATCATATAGACACAATATGCGATTCTGACATTCCAATGTATTTTCTTTTGGTTACTCAGAAGATACTACAGGGTAAGTCGGAAAAAATATGCTACAAGTTGGAAGTTTGTAATCATATTGGTGTAGCCTGGTAGATTGAGAAAAAAGAAACATCATCTAGATCTCCTTTCATGAACCTGCAAAATCAAGTTCCAAAATGCTTGCATGTTGTCTGTGTATTGCATGTCAATTTTGAGGCTTTGCAGATCAAATCTGTTCTTAAATAGTTCTTGTCCTGATTCCAAATACTTTTGTCTCATCTTGCTTTCTATGAATTTAACTCTTCATTGGATTCCTAGAGAGTTGAATTCCATAGTTGATGGGTTAGCCAAGTCAGGGTCTCAAAGGGACTTCATGTATAGTGGACGTACTTTGCCTATGTAGTATTTTTCCGCACTGTTCTGTGACACTCCAGATCTCCTACCCACAGACTTTTCCCAAATCTCTACACATAAGACACTACTGCCATGTATTAGGAACATGTCCCCATGAATGACAATGGAGATACCAGTGGATAGGAATGTGGGTAGAAGAACCAAGCTCGTTTTGCGCTGCTTTCCCTGTACACATTATCTCATGCACTTTGTTTCTCTTTAATGAAATCTTGTTCTCTCTCTCTCTCTCTTTGTAGGTGAGTGGAGCCGAAGTTGCAAAGCTCAACTACCATTCTACAACTGTTAGAGATTGTAGTTGGCATCCTTCCTTCCCATTGCTCGTCAGCTCCTCCTGGGATGGGGTGATAGCCAGATGGGAATTTCCTGGAACAGGGGAGGCATCACGCCCCTTGGTGAAGAGAAGATCTCGGAGGAGAGATTTATATTGAAAGGCATTCAAGTCATATATCTATTATTTGCCTCTGTATTTATATTGTGATTCAAATTACCTTTATCACCAGGTGAAATTGTATTACATAATATTCTTTTTATTTAAGCATTTAAATTGTAAACCTATAGCCAATCCTTGTAGAATTGGAACCTTCCTGCCTCTTGTAAAGAGCAGCACGCTTTCAAATTATCAAATATATTTATGGTTTATCAAGCCAATCTCGGCAGTCTCTCTTCATTTGTTTATGGTGTTTGGGAATGCCACCTGATGTTATGTGTGTTTGGAATCATGGGGGTTTATTGAATAAATGCTGCCACATAAGCACCACTTCAACATTTCCCTATTATGTGAATCCATATGCATAGGGACTTGCAAAAGTAGATTTTGGTTTATATGTGTGCCTACCGTTGGGAGAAACTTCATTTTAATGCTTCTCCCAGCAGATAGACATTTATTCACTGTTTTGCTGATGTGATGCTTAATGGCGCCTAACTGTTAATAAATGGGTTCATCATTGCTTTTCTTGATTTTTCAAACAAATCAAGTATAAAACATTTAGTCAATAAATTTCCACGGTTTCAAACACATACGTTATTCCACTTCGATTGCTTCTGAGAGCATAATTGACCATCTAAAATCTGGATCCAGTTGTCGATAGAAAAGCATCGTGTCATTTCAGGATGAAGCAAATCATTTGCATCTTCTCTTACCCAGAAAATAATTCTTTATTTTGAATATGTTTTGGATTAAAATGTAGCGATTTGTTTCTTCATTGCATTCAGGCATGCACTGTTTCTGTTAATAATTGATATTAAAAAAACACTATGTAGAACAAATCATCTGAATCGACTGTGGTAAGCGATCAGAGCCAATATGTGAACTGGCCATCATTTATTCGTTACTAGAAGGAAAAAGAAAAACAAAACATGCTCTTCTTAGTTGGAAGAGTTAAACTTGATACTGCAACGTTTTCACTGTTCAGTGAACTACAAAATTTAGATCCTAGAAGTTGCTACAGCCTACAGAACCACTAAAGGAAAAACGAAACTGAAAAAATATGCATCGGTTAGCGTCCACTAGAAGCAAAGGCCACGGATACTGCAGCAAAAATTGCTGTTGCAGAAGATAGCCATGCCCAGAAGTTCCTCTTCTTCTGTGCTGTCAGAGAGTTGTGCAGTAATTCCAGTTGCCGGTTCATGTCCTCCGCCTTTTCCTCCCTATTTCTGAATGCCTTCTTGATCGCTTCCAGCTCTGTAACAAAAGGTAGAATTTCCTCTTCTATACTCTCTGAATTACCAATAAAATATTCTTTTCCATCTATCTCTTTACCTTGGGAGCCATAAATCATGGTTGCAGTGTCCTTTAACATGGATAAGGTTCTCCCACAAAACCCATCTGCAGATTTCACCTTCATGCGCGATTCCTTCAGACCTTGTTGAGCTTCTGCCACTGTTCTTTCCATGAATGCTTTGTCCTCCATCAGCAGTTCAATGTGGTTTTCCTTTTCTTTCTTTTCCACAATCAGGCTATCCCTTTCCATGCTTATCTGCATGAGCTCTCCTTGGGTATCCTTCAAGTTCTTCTCTAATCCCACAATTTCAATCCTCAAGCTTGATGCCACATTTCTCTCTTGCTCAAGCTCCTTCATAGCATCATCCCTCTCAACAGTAATATGCTCCAAAGCATCTCTCTGACTGATAACCTTGTGCTGGAGTTGGTTATTTTTTTCTGTGTGGTCGTCACATGACCTTTGTAGTTCGGATGTAGTGGCCCTAAGCTCACCCGCCTCTTTGTGCAGTTCAGCAATCTCAATTTCCTGCTTAATCTTCACCTGCTCTATGTCAGCCTTCTCTTTAACAATCTCAAGCATCTTTCTCCTCTGCTCCTCTAATTGCTGCAAGGACTCCTCCAAACTTCTCATTGTTGAAGATTTTTCCTCCATTAACTGCTCAATACTTGTTTCTGCCTCCCTTTTTTCTTCCACCAATGCGTTGAACTCCTCTCTTAAGTGCTCCTGCTTTTCCAAAGCATCAGCATTCCTTTTCCCCATCTCAGAAACTTCCAGTTGCAGACTCTCTTCCTGCTTTCTTAGGCTGGATATGGTAGAAATGAGCTCGCCTACTTCTTTCTGCAATTCGGTTATTGTAGCTGCCTGATTAGTCCTCTCCAGTTCAATCTGTTCCTTCTCAGCAACAAGTCCTCTGATCTCCCTCTCCGTATCTTCAACTAACCGTGATGACTCCTCTAGCCTTCTCTGTAAAGAGTCCTTGTCACTTAGCAAGCATCCAAGGTCCCTTTCTCTTTCCTCCTTTTCTTCCAGTAGTCCTTGGCGCTCTGTCTGTAATTGCCGGAGCTCGTTTTGAGTCTCTRCATAGTTCTTCTCCAGCTGAAGGAGTTCCGACCTCAGACCTTCTACCTGCAGTGTCTGGATATCAAGATCCTTCTGAATCATATCTTTCTCAAGAAGGACACGATCAGAAGCATCTCTCTCACGACTAAGATCTGCAGTGAAGGCCTCTACAGATTTCTTCAAAGAGTCAATCTCACGGTCCCCATCAATCCTGGCCTGTTCAATCTGATCCCTCTCCCTAACAACATCAGCAACCGCTTTCTTCAGTTCCCCAAGTGTTCCCACCATTTCTTCCTTCTCTCCCAGGACACCATCGCGCTCTACTTGTATCCGTCGAATCTCGTTACGAGCCTCTTCATTGCTCTTCTCCAGGTTTTCCACGATCGACCTCAACTGATCCATTTCCTTTTGTTTCAAATCAATATCCTTACTTGCTCTTTCCTTATACCTACTAAAATTGTCACTGAGCTGATCGATATCTCTCTGCTGTTGTGTCAACTTCATCTCCACAGCTTCTCTCCGTCTCTCCTCGTCTCTGACATTCTCTTCTATCTTAGCTTTGAAAGCAGCACTCTCGGCTCTCACTTTTTCATTCTCCCTCCGAATCTGGCTCTTAAGCCGCTCCGCTTGTTGGTGGAGTTGAGAAGAGACGAAAACCAGAGTAAGGCGCTGCTCGATCTCGGCAGCTATCATCTCATCTTCAAAGAGTTCATTCTCGGCCGTCAATGTCTGCTTCTGGGCAGCCGAGCGAGATATCTCCGATTCAAGGGCTTCTTTGGACTGAAGAAGAGAGTCGACCTGTTGCCTGCGCTCGACAGTCTCTTTTAGGAGAAGAGCATTGAGAGATTTCAAGCTGGCGAGCTTCTCCAAGGGGTCCTCCTCCATGGTATCGCGAGGTTTTTCTTGAGGCTTCTTCTCTTCCTGGGACGGGGGGAGATCTATGGGAGGCTTCTCTTGCTTCGAGGCCTTCTTCTTCGCCATTTGATTGTCCGAGTTGCGAGGAACGACAAAGGCGAAGGGATTGGAGATGAGAGGTTAGGGTTTTCTTTCTGGCTAGGGTTTTTCTTTTCTATTAATGGTGGAGAAGTTAGGCAGTTTAAGTCTTTGAAGATAAGAGAGGGACTGAGGGAGTGAGAGAGTCAATTTCAAAAATTTAAATGCTGAACCCAACGTTCGAGGAGTTTCCGGGTGTATTAGAAACTCTGGGTGGAATTGGAACCCGGATCTGGTCCTCTCGAAGCGCTCCTTACACCGACCTCACAGGCATATTCCACCGTCTATTGCGAATATTATGAGACTCGATGTACGGCCAAGATATGATGTGAATTCGGTGTGAGGTACGATGCGTGAGGAGCAGATCTGCTCTCCTTCAAGCACGGGAACGGTTGGGATTAAGGATGTTGACTTCACCAACGTGCCACGTTTGAAATTCGCATCTATGCGCTACAGTTAGCGCCCCAAAACCGCTCCACGGCCCATCCCAACCGTGTATCGGCAACATCTCTCAATAATAAGTATGGAAGATTTCCCAATGCATACTGAAAGTGGGGGAACGGGATCTGCTCCTCACATTTGGCCACCTCACATGCACATTCACCGTGCATTGGAAACATCTTCCATGAATAATAACGTATAAGTACGGTAGATGTTCCCAATAAATGGGTACGATGTACGTGTGAGGCACATGTGAGGTGTCCATCTGGTCTCGAAAGTGGGGCGTTTTTGGGGCATAGATGTGAGATCAAATTAGCCCCCTACAATGTCCCATAGCACATCCCCGCATCCTTGCCGTGTATTGGGAACATCTCTATGATGATGATGTCATCATCGGGTATTGGGAACATCTCCCTATGATGATGATATCATCATCGAGAGACGTTCGCAATTCACAGCGAGGATGTGCTGTGGGGGGCTGATTCGGTCTCCATATGTGAATTCCCACGTTTGCTGATACGCAACCCATGGTTAGCTGTTAACTTGACACTTGGATTTAGATTTTAGATATTCTCATAAGAGCATTTTCATACCAGCCACATTCCATCCTTTACTTTTTTTGGCAAATTTTTTAAATTAGCCTTATGATTTAGTTAATTGATTAATTCTATCCTTACTGTTTACATATTGTATTATAGTAACTTAAGTTCTCCCTCTATTGTGAAAAAAACTTGGGGTAATTTAAGACAATATGTAAACAATAAGAATATAATTAATCAATTAGCTAAACCAGAACTGATCGGCCTAGTTCTAACATCTTAAGGGGTGTTTTGTGTGTGGATGAGAAATTGGAGGGTGTGGACTGGTCCACACCACACCTTGTGCCAGGGACCAATCCACACCACACCATAGTCCACAATTGTTTTGAACAGTGGACAAATTGTGTGGTGTGGACTGGACCAGTCCAATTCGACAGTTTGTGTGGTGTGGTGTGGACTGGACCACACTTTGTGCATTTACAAATGATTTGCACCAACATTTTAAAAAATGACTCAGAAACGGAATCATTTTGGCCACTGGTTTCCGGATCGACAGTCCGACCGTCCAATTCGAATGGACGGCCTGTTCTAACAAATAGATTAAAAAATAAAAAATAATAATTAAAAATAAAAATGGTAAAAACCCGTTGAACGGGTCGACGGTTTGATCGCTCGGGTCTATGGGTTGTTGACTTTTTCAATGGTTTTTGGCCAATTGGGGTAAAATGGAACCGCTTGCCTGGACAGTTCCTGGGCTGAACAGTTAGGACCGTCCAAGTCAATGATGGTTTAGAAACCTTGATCTACACAGTTAATCATAAACATCTAATTTTTACATTTTATATGATAAATATATTGAAGAATGCATCAATGAATTAATATTAACCAATAAATATTATTTTTTTATAAAACAATAGTAAAATAATTAAAATTAAAAAAATAAAAAAATTAAGTAAAATAATTAATATTTTATGCACCTTCAACACAATCAAATTGACATTAATCAGAACCCAACAATAAATTAATATCTGGGCTATCTGGGCTTCCATCTTCTCTAAGATAGCTAGAATTCTTGCATTTAATGAAAGATGGGAGTACAAATTGACCATATTCTCCCTTAAAAGTTCAATTGAAGTATTCAATCTGTACAATCGCAGCTTAGAATTGGGCTGAATTAAGTTCAGCTCTTTGCAATTCCAAAACCGATCCATCCTCAACCAAGTTACACCACCTGGTTGAAGGTGGGAAGTCTTATCCTCAATACTTGTTACTGTGCTTGAAATCTATTTAGTGTGTCAATTGTTACATGGCACATCTAGGCAAATGGCCTTGGTGATTTCCGATGGAACCATACATCTTGTGGGCTTCTTATGGTTTGAACAGCAAATCAGAAACAAATAGATCAGCAATATTTTTTTTTTCAGTATAGGCCACTATCAAATCTTTGGCAGGGTATTTCTCATATCAGATATTTTTCCTGGGAACATAAACCAGATTAGATTTGACTTGACTTTGGTGGGTCAATAGCACATTAGATCCTGTTGCCCCTTGGCTTCCAACTTTCTTGTGAGCATTAGTGCCCCTTGGAACATCAATGTTTACAGGCCCTTCCAAGGAATTGAGTACATGAGTTCTCTTGTTGAATCTCTCTTTCTCTCTCTCTACCTAACAATCACATGTAGTCCCTTCCCCTGGTTTTTTCATGGCCAACCCAAATTGTTCTTCCAGATAATTTAGTCCAGGCACAAGGATCAACACTGTTCAATTGTTGGGAAGAGGATTTTGGATTGGATTCTAATTTTACCAGAATTTGTGGGAATTAAGAAAAAAACTTTTTGGGGAATTGGAAATCTTGGGCTTTCCTAGAGAAAGACTTTGGCTCTCCACCATCTCACTTTTCTTTTTCTTTTTTAATTTTTTGAATCTCTTTGTGAGTGCATGACCACTTGCAACCTACTAAGAAAAAAAAATTGAAGATGGCTTTATATCTTGCTGAGTGTTTTAAAATGCAGAGGCATGATGCAACTAGATCCACTATCCTAAGGTGTGAGGAGTAAACCAGAACAAAAGAAGTATAAGCCCCTCTTAGAAATGAATTTTTAATTAATAAATAATTAAATAGAAAATAAAACAAATAGAAAAATATAGTAAATATCCCACAATACAAAAACTATGAGAAATTAGAAAATTATATATTTGCTATAAGCCTCCTCAGCATGAGGTATCATCAGCCATCAATATATTACTTTTAAAGTTCAAAGTCACTAGTTCAGAATTCATAAGTGTCTCACATCATATTCAAATGAATGTAGAGCATTGAAAGAAACCAAAACGGGTGTTTCAGATGAAGTACACTGAAAACATGCTGTTAAATACTTGGATATATACAAACTTTGCTAAGAAAAAAGAAATGCAAGAACATTGCTGCTGAAATGAAGAAGAAGCAGAGATGGAGCCCCTTTCTCTGACAATCACATTAAGAATTAAGAGGAAGAGAATGGATGATTAGATCCCTGTTCCTCGAGGATTGACTTCTTTGTAAGTGTTCTTCCATATCTCACTTCATTTTCCTCTACAAGTCTCTCATTGTTTCTTGTTCTTAATATCCAACTCTAGGTTTGTTGCATTATTTGAGAATGAGCAGGACTGTCAGTGTTATGTTACTTTTCTTATGGTAGTGTATAGCAGGAGCATGACAAAATGGTGCTTTAGTATTAATTTTTATTTTTTTATAACAAAATATCGGGCATCAGATTAGATGCATGCACTCCATATGGCATGCATGTGTAAAATGTTATGTTTTTGTATGTTCCTCTATACAGGAAGTGTACATGCCATGCATATGTCCACACTTTTTGAATGCACCTTAGGGTGTTTTAATAATGTCTTGCCTAGTCACCTTCTTTCACAGTGTAGTTTGTAAGTGACCAGTCACTTGTAGCATTTTTTCTTGGGGTTACTTAGACTGAGAGTGATATTTTGTTGTGAGTCTAGATAGATCATCCATGTGATATTTTTCTCTCTCTTCCCGTGGATGTAGGCTACCGAGGTGAACCACATTAAATCTTGGTATTCTCTCTATTTTTTCTTATTTTCTCCTTGATTTGCTATTCT